CTGCTGCTTGTCCCCTCCATCCCCACACACTGCCATCATCAGCCCACGGAGGGAGCAGCTCGCCTGTGGCACAGCCCCTGAGCTCAGCACAAGCCCAGCAGCATCCCTAATTGACTGCCTGCCCAGGGTGATTATTATAATTAAGGCAGAGTTCAGGAATTGCGAGTGACAGGATAAAACCCCCCCAGCTCTGACACGACACCGTGGGGAGGGGGCCCTGAGCTCAGCACAAGCCCAGCAGCATCCCTAATTGACTGCCTGCCCAGGGTGATTATTATAATTAAGGCAGACTTCAGGAATTGCGAGTGACAGGATAAAACCCCCCCCAATCCAGGTTTGGTGCCTCCCCCTCGCCAGTTCTTGTTGGCTGTGTTCCCACGTGGATGCCTGGCCTCTCTTTGGCTGGTTTTATCTGTTTGCTCTGCTCTTGACCCTGGGTTTGGAGCATGAGGTGGAAATCCTGGGAGTACACACGTCCCTGGCACCTGGAGGTGGCCCAGGCCAGGCTGGACAGGGCTTGGAGCAGCCTGGGGTAGTGGAAGGTGTCCCTGCCCATGGCAGGGGGTGGAACTGGCTGAACTATAAGGTCCCTTCCAACCCAAACCTAAAATTCCATGGTTCTGTGAAGTTTTGGGCCTCCTCCACCTCAGCTCACAGTCCAGCCTGGGAATTCTTCACCTTAGGAGGGAGAGGAGAGGGGAGAGCATGGAGAGCATGGAGAGCACCCACCCCCTGCCTGCCAGGGCTGGGAGCTGCTGAGGAGCAGAACCCAGGCTCAGCTCGGGTTGTTTCCCCCCCCCAGCACCCTCAGGAGACATCCAAGACTTCCCAAGTGGAAATCTCTCCACGGTGGTGGCCCCAAAAACACCCTCCTGGGAGAGCGGGAGCGTGCCCCCTCTCCCAGCTCCATCCCAGCCCAGAACCATCTCCCACCACCCCCTTGGCACCTCCACACCGCCCTGCATGTGGCTGTCACACACCACGAGTGCCCTGTTTCCCCTCTGCCATCCCATCCTGGCACAGCCACGCTCACGTCTGCCAGGGTGGGTGCCCGGCAGCAGGGGGGAGGCACAGAGCAGGGTGGGTGCTGAGCACAGGGGGACACCCCCAGCAGGGTGACATCCCCAGCAGGGTGACACCCCACCCAGGCATGGGGTGATGTCCCCATCAGGCACAGGGTGACACCCCCATCAGGCACAGGGTGTCATCTCCCAGCTCCATCCCAGCCCAGAACCATCTCCCACCACCCCCTTGGCACCTCCACACCGCCCTGCATGTGGCTGTCACACACCACGAGTGCCCTGTTTCCCCTCTGCCATCCCATCCTGGCACAGCCACGCTCACGTCTGCCAGGGTGGGTGCCCGGCAGCAGGGGGGAGGCACAGAGCAGGGTGGGTGCTGAGCACAGGGGGACACCCCAGCAGGGTGACATCCCCAGCAGGGTGACACCCCACCCAGGCATGGGGTGATGTCCCCATCAGGGACAGGGTGTCACCCCCCTCACTCAGGGGAAGCACATTTTGTGGAAGTTACTGGAGCATTGGGTAATTTTTTGCCTCACACCCCCGAGCAGCAGGATCAGGCACAAGGGCCAGGGGAGGAGCTGGCAGGTCCAGGAAGGAGCCGGGGCTCTGGTGGCAGAGGGATCCCAGAGTCACAGGGTGTCCTGGGCTGGAAATGACCCACAGGGGTCATCCAGTCCCTGTGGGGCCCTGCCCAGACACCCCAACAACCCCACCCTGTGCCTGGAGTGTCCAAACCCTCCTGGAGCTCTGGCAGCCCCATTCCCTGGGGAGCCTGGGCAGGGCCAGCACCTCTGGGGGAAGAACCTTTCCTGAGATCCACCCTAAACCTGCCCTGGCACAGCCCCGTGTCACTCAGGTCCTGCCCCTGGTCACCACAGGGGTGTCAGAGCTGCCACTCCACTTCCCACTGGGATGTCAAACGCTGCTGTGAGGACTGAGATAACAGCTCTGCTGAAAACCCCAAAGCTCTGCTGAAAGCCCCAAAACTCTGCTGAAAACCCCAAAGCTCTGCTGAAAACCCCAAATCCCAGGCCCACCACAGGCCAGGCTGACCCCGTGCCTAAAGAGGGGCAGCTCCTCTGGGCAGGGCTGTGCCACCAGAGCCTGAGCTCTGGACAGGGACAGGGACAAGAGGCTTCAACACCACCGAGCCCCTTGCACCAGGATGAATTAATTTGCACTCAAAAGACCCCCAAGCCCCAAAAAACTCACCCTCCACCACCTGACGGGCTCAGAATTTGGCTCAGCCTCCCAGGACAAGGAAGCTGCGGGTTCCTGGTGCTGATCTGAGCTCTGCCCCAGCCCAGAGCTCCTGGCTGCCCCCTGGGCCCCCCAGCCCAGCAGCAGCACAACGCAACCGAGCGTTGCCACACCACGGATGGTTGTGACACAGCTGTGGAAACCTCCATAAGCCGCTCTTCCAGACTGACCCTCTGCAAATCCCTCCTAATCCAATCTTGTTTATGGCATTAAGTCGGACCCTCCCATACCGAGCACCCCTCTTTGCTCAAGAGTTGGGAAAATCCTGGTCTTTTCTCAGTCCTGGTTGAAGATCTGGTGCGGAAGCCACCAGAGCTCCCTTCTCGTGTGTGGAGGTGTTTGGGGACAGGGCAGGACCTGCACTCCCAGCTCCACATCCCCTGTGTGCCACACGGGCATGGACAGCTCCCCTGTGCCAGTGTGGCACAGCCAGGAGTTCTCCTCTGCTGGGTTCCTGTGGTTTAAACTGAGATTTCTCCACCTTATCCCAGCACTAGGGAGGAGCTGGAGGAGATAAACCCTGCTCTGACCTGCAGCTTGCCCCACAGGTCCCAGCTGGGATCCAGGTCAGGAGAGCAGCCCCACACCACGTTAGTTTGGGTGATATTCCCACAGGAGATGCCAGAGCCACGCTCCCACCACAGCCCAGGGAATGCTCTGCCCTCCCCGAGGCCATCCCACAGACGGATCCCACACTGGGAGGACACAAACCTGCGGGTTTGCCCCAGGCTGTCACAGCCACACTCTTCCTAATTCCTTCAGGGAGGAGAAAACCCTGGGTGTGTGTCCCAGCACAAACATCTGCCACCTCCCCTGGGGCAGAGCAGCTCAGCCAGGAGGAGCAAATGTTAAAATCACCCTCAGCCTGCCTGGAACCTGCAGGAAATCTGACACAGAGAAGGAAATCTGTTTTATCTTTCCCAGAAGGAAAGGGAGACGCAGGCTGGCACGGGCTGGAGCAGTGGGAATGGAGCTCCCTTCCCTCTGCTTCCCCTCCAAAGAAGCCTGGATCTTGTCTGGATCCATCCAGCCCAGGACAGGAACATCCTCAGGGATCTGCCCGGCCGAGGCTGCCTGCAGGGAGCTGGGGAGGAGCCCCAGAGGGACCCAGAGCATCCCCTGGGGCGTGGAAAGCCACCCGTGGGGCCCGGCAGGGCTGGGGCAGGGAGGAAGGGAGGGTCCCAGGCAGTGGGCAGGGCTGCTGGGAGGGCAAGGGTGACAGCTCTGCTCTGCTGTCACCGTGCCACAGGCTGGGGTGGTGGCAGCACACACGGCGGCTCCCGGAGCAGCAGCAGGATGCTGGATCCCCCTGGGCTTGGGAAAACGGTGGGATCCACAGGGAATGGCAACAGAGCTCCCCACAGCCCCCCCAGACGAGCTGCTGGTGACACTGAGGTGCTGTGACACCTCCAGCACAGCCCTCGTGTCCCATGTCCCCTCTCCTGCCCTGGCAGGGATGGGCATCACCTCCAGTGCAGCCCCTTTTCCTGGGAGCAGCACGGTCCCCACACGTGGGGAGGGGCTGGTGGAGCCCTGCAGCCCCCAGAGCACCCAGCACAAACACAGGACAGGGGCAGAGGACACCCAGGACACCCTGGTGGCCACGGCACCACAGGGAAGGTCACCAGAGCCAGGAGTGTGGGTACTGAGGATCAATGGAGGATCAGTGCCCTTTTCCTGCTTTTATTCCCAAATCCTGACAAAGACTGCATCCACCTCACCCATCCCCTCTGAGGTGTCACCTCTGCAGTCCCAGGGGATTCAGCATTGACCACCCTGCTCAGCAGCAAGGGACAGGGACAGGGACAGGGACGGGACAGGGACAGGACAGAGGGACAGGGACAGGACAGGGAGGGACAGGACAGGGACAGGACAGGGACACTCCGCCGGCCCTTCCCGCTGTGCAATGATTAATTCCAGCTCCGGGTGACACAGCGAAAGCCAAACAGGGCGAGGCGGGGATGCGGCCGCTGCTCTCCGCTGTCCCCGGGCGCCGCCCGCCGCCGGCAGCTCCCGGCGGGACTGGAAAGACCTGTCGGTGCTCCTGCCGGAGCCACGGGCACGGCAGGCGTGGCAGAGGCCAGCAGGGCTGCTGCCACCGCGCCTGGGGCTGTCACCCTCACCCTGGGCCTGGGGACAGCTCGGGATGCATCCCAGAGCGGAGCCCAGAGCCGGTTCAGCCCCTGCGGGCAGAGCCAGCCCGGGGAATGAACGGGTTTAATCCGTCCTGGAGACCCCCGAGCTGTGGCTGGCAGCCTGGAGTGCCAGAGGAGTGAGCCCAGGAATGGCCCATCCCAAAGGCAGAGGCGCTGGGGTGCCCTGAGGAGCTGCTCCCAAACAGCACAGCCAGGGGGAGAAAATAGGGGGAAAATGGGGAAAAAATGGGGAAAACGCAGCTTTACTCCTCCCTGACATTCACAACCTTTATTGTCCCCTGAGCAGCAGTTTCCCGTTCCAAGAGCCGGCAGCAGGGCTGATTTTCCTCCAGGCTGGAAAAGCTCTGGAGCCTGGCAGCTGCCCCATCCCCTCAGCCTGCACCACAAACCCCAAAAAGGTTCCAAACCAGGAGGAAACTGCGGGATGCCGGGCTCGGGGTGGCCCTTCCGGAGCTCCCCGGGATCCCTGCAGCATTCCCAGGCTGCTGGGGGGCATCTTCCAGCGCAGAAGATTGCAGGGATGCAGCAGAGCATCGGAGCCAGAGGATGAGGCACTTACCAGGCACGGGGGACAGGCGCTGACAACTCGCAGGAGGCACAAGGAGGAGTTAATGGTGCTGCAATTCCCGCTGCCTCCATCGTTAGGGAGGGAAAACGCATCCGAGCGGCCGCGCTCGAATGCACAGCGTAATTTGTTTCGGATTTAATGTCATCCTGCTTCCTGGAGATGGGCCGGAGCTGGGAAAAGCCTCTGCTTGTATCAGCCCCGGGAAGGTGGAAGGAAAGGAGGGGATTTGAGGAGTTTTGTGGGGGGAAAAGCTCAGCTGCAGCTGGGCAGGGCTGCTGCTGCAAGAGGCTGAGACCACCGAAGTGAGGCATCACCCCCAGGAGCTGCTGGCTAAAAAACACCTCACACCAGCTCCACGTGGAGTATCAATGTTTTCTGAAGGGTCTCAGCGAGGTTTCCTCCTGCCCACCAAAAGCAGCATCACCATGGGGCAGTGGCATCGCTCGCCCAGAGCCAGGAGTTTGGGGCAGGACAGCAGAGGGAGGGGAAAGCTCCGTTTTCTCTGGGATTTGATCCTCTCCTGGAGCCCTGAGCCCGGCGGGAGGAGGTCAGGATTTCCCCAGCCTGATGAGTTTCCTCCTCGGGGCCTCTTGTTTGTGCAGGCACAGGGAACGTTTCCTCCTCCCGGAAAAGCCCCGCGGGGAGCAGCCCCATGGGCACTCACATCCCTGACCTCCCCGGCCTCCAAAACACCTCAGATTCAGGAATCAGATCCCCTCAGCCCACCCCCTAAACCCTGCAGAGCTCCCCTGCACCTCCTGCTTCTGGCTTTTCATCCAAGAGCACGGCAGGGCCCCCAGCCCTGCCAGGGTTGGGAACTCCAGTCCAATCTCCAGGTGCTGCTGCTGCAAGAGAGAGAAATAATCAAACACAGACCTTGGGGGGTCCCACGGCAGTGAAACGGCTGGGTTTTTCCTGCAGGGCTGGAACAAGGAAGAGATAAACCACGTTTGCTCCAGAGCACAGGCAAACAACTGCTTATCAGCACGTTGGCAGCCTCAAGGCTATTGCAGGGTGTCAGGAAAAGTGTAATTCCTCTCCTCTCCCGGGAAAGGTTCTATTTTTGGCCCCTCCGTCACAGGGAGCTGCTGCCTGCACCCGCTGGAGAGCAGCCAGCCCTGCAGAGCCCCTTCCACACTCACGGGGAGGGGATGGACTGGGGGAAACAGAGGCAGCTCTGCTCCAAGCTGCAGGATCAGCCCGGCCTGGCTCCCAGAGAGAGCTCAGAGCCCTTCCAGGGGCTCCAGGAGAGCTGGGGAGGGACTGGGGACAGGGACAGAGGGACAGCACACAGGGAATGGCTCCCACTGCCAGAGGGCAGGGATGGATGGGATGTTGTGAATTGGGAATTGTTCCCTGGGAGGGTGGGCAGGCCCTGGCTGTGGCTGCTCCATCCCTGGAAGTGTCCCCAGGACAGGGCTGGGAGCACCCTGGGGCACTGGAAGGTGTCCCTGCCATGGCTGGGGTGGAATGGGATGAGCTTTAAGGTCCCTCCCAACCCAACCCATTCCAGGATTGTGTGATAACCCGAAGCTCAGCTGCAAAGGGGCAGAGCCAGACTTTGTGCTGGATTTTCCAGTGACATTTTAGGGGTCATTGGTTATTTTCAGGCTAGAAAATGATGAACCTGTGTGCCTGGCAGGGGGGGACAGAAAAAGCCACAGCTGGTCTGAGCCAGTGCTGGTGCCAGCCCTGTGTGGTGGCGAGAGACCACCAGGTCCTTCTGCCAACACTTTTGTGACACTCCCTGCACCATGATTCCCTTGGCCAAAGAGGACAGGTCCATCCATTGCTCCCTCTCCCCCTGGCTCCACTGCCCAGCCCTCACCAGCTCACCCCGCTGAGCTCCACCACTCCCTCAATGCCCAACCCAAACAGCCAACACATGGAAAAAGCCCATTTTGGATGATTCCCCTCTGTCCAAGTGTGAGATCGCTAATTGAGGGTAAAATTCCATCCAGGGTCCTGAAAATAGCCCGATAAATGAGCTCAGCTCTTTGCTGGTTGACTCAGCTAATCCTTCAGCTGCCTCCAGACAGCTTTGATTGCATCTCCTCTCCTTGGGCTGCCTTTAATGCCAAGGCCGAGCCGTGGCAGCTGCAGCAGCTCCCTGCAATTCATAATCTGCCTTTATTCCTGGCTGCACCACCGAGCAGAGGTCGGCTCCCGCTCCTGGCTTGATTGATGAATATGGATTTTGTTGGTGAAGCCATTAGGAGCGGTGATGGAGCAATTCCCTGTACATCCTGCAGCCCCCGTGCCTCATTTGCAGCCCGCCCCGCAGAACGCTCCCCCTGCAACGCTCCCCGTGCAGGGAAGATTATATGAAAGCTTTGTCTGTAATGCTGTAATTCCACCTCGCCTCCCTGAGCCCTCTCCAATGGGAAACAGCCCTGCCAGGCAGGGAAGTGCTGGGAAAGGAGGGAATCCGTGCCCAGCGGGAGGAGCTGATATCCCACCCCAAAAGGCTGAAAGGGAAGTGATAAATCTGCTGCCAGCCCAGTGGGGACCCTGCTCGGGCTGCTTGTGGTGCTGCCCCAGTACCTCCATCCATCCATCCATCCATCCATCCATCCATCCATCCATCCATCCATCCATCATCCATCATCCATCCATCCATCCATCCATCCATCCATCATCCATCATCCATCCATCCTTCCTTCCCTCCATCCATCTTATATCCATTCATCATCCATCCATCTGTCCCTCCATACTTCCCTCTATCCATGCATCCCTCCCTTCGTCCGTCCGTCCATCCATCCATCCATCCATCCCTCATCTATCCATCTCCCATCCCTCCCTTCCTTCCTCCCTTCCTCCCTTCCTTCCTTCCTTCCTTCCTTCCTTCCTTCCTCATCCATCCATCCATCCATCATCCATCATCCATCCATCATCCATCCATCCATCATCCATCCATCATCCATCATCCATCCATCCATCCATCATCCATCCATCCATCATCCATCATCCATCCATCCATCCATCATCCATCCATCCATCCATCATCCATCCATCCATCATCCATCCATCCATCCATCCATCCATCCATCCATCCATCCATCCATCCATCCCTCCATCCCAGGGGATGCTCCAGCCGGAATACCCGGGGTGCGGGGGGGTTCATCCCGCTCTGCCCCGGGAGCAGCCCAGCCCGGGGCTCCCTCTCCCTCGGCGGCATTCCCGGGGTCAGCGCGTCCCAGCCCCGCTCCGCAGGGCTTTGTACCCGCGTGGAGGAAGAGACAGGCTGTGCCCCGAGGCCTGGCTGTGCAATCAGAGAGAACAAAAGGGAGAAGGGAATTGTGCGAGCAGGGGCCGGGATACAGCTCCTGCCTCCTGGCTCCCAGCCGTGCTTTTTTCCGTTGCTTGTTTTGGAGAGGAGAAGGTTTCCCCTCCAGCTGCCCCCCTGTCAGGCACCGCCCTGGCTGTGCAATCAGAGAGAACAAAAGGGAGAAGGGAATTGTGCGAGCAGGGGCCGGGATACAGCTCCTGCCTCCTGGTTCCCAGCCGTGCTTTTTTCCCATTGCTTGTTTCCTGCAGCTGCCCCCCTGTCAGGCACCGCCTAGCACAGGGACAATTCGGCACCTTCTCCCTAAAAACCAGCAGCAGCCAGGATGTGGTCATGGGTGAAACAAGCAGTTGTCCATGTGGGAATCTTTGGGAAGGGTCCAAGCAAAGCCAAGTTTTCCCTTCACAGCAAAAATGCTTGGAAAGGTGCACGAGTAATATCCAAGGGCTCTCTTTTCCAGAGCGGCAGAAAATTAAATTTCCACGTTATTTAGCCACGAACTCCTAAATGGAGCAGATCCATCCAGCTCATCACTCACCAGCATCCCCTCGTTTGGTTTTAATTGGCATGCAGGGGCTGATCCAGGCAGGGAACGGAGCTCGGGATCAGGGGAGACCAGGAAAAACACCCCCAAAGCTGGGAGCAGGGCTGGGATCAAGGCACTGGAGCGGGGAACAAGGGGACACTCCTCTGAGGGCTCAGGGGTGGTGGAAGCCAGGGCTGAGGGACAGGGGACACACGGGGCTGCCAGGACTGCAGCCTGTCCCAGGGCAGGAATGATTTGGGTTCCCGGAGGTGAGGAGAAGGATGACAAGGTGACAGAAAGCCCCAGGGAGAAGCCACCCGTGGAGGAAAATGCTTCCATGAGAGGTAAGATATGAAGGGAGAGAGGGAGGGGAGGGAATTTGGGGTTGTCCCCCAGGTACTGGAGATGGATGATGGGAACTGGTTCACTTGGGATCAGCTGGAGAGGGGTGGGATGTGGGACAGTGGATTGGTGCAGGAGCAGGGAAGGAGGGGCCGAGTCCCACAGGGGCACCCCAGGGGTCCCAAATCCCACAGGGGTCCCGATTTCCACAGGTGGCCTGACCCAGGAGCCTCAGGGTGCAACGCTTCACACGTCCCTGTGGCTCCCAGTCCCATGAGTGTCCACGTGGATCCTGATCCCACAAATGTCAGTGTCCATTTGATCCTGATTCACGAGTGTCCGTGTGGATCTCGGTCCCACAAGTGTCGGTGTCCATGTGAACCCCTGACACATGGACATATCCATGTGGATCCTGATCCCACAAGTGTCTGTGTCCTTGTGGATCCCCATCCCATGAGTGTCCATGTCCGTGTCCATGTCTGTTCAGATCCCAATCCCACGCATGTCCGTGTGGATCCCAATCCCATGAGTATCCATGTCTGTACCGATCCCAATCCCATGCGTTCCATCCCATGTCCATCCCGTGTCCATGCCGATCCCAATCCTACGTGTGTCCATCCCGTGTCCATGCCAATCCCAATCCCACGCGTGTCCATGCCGATCCCAATCCCACGCGTGTCCATCCCGTGTCCATCCCAATCCCACACGTGTCCATCCCGTGTCCATGCCGATCTCAATCCCACGAGTGTCCATCCCGTGTCCATCCCCATCCCAATCCCGTGTCCATGCCGATCCCAATCCCACGCGTGTCCATCCCGTGTCCATCCCAATCCCACCCGTGTCCATCCCGTGTCCATGCCGATCCCAATCCCACGCGTGTCCATCCCGTGTCCATCCCAATCCCACCCGTGTCCATCCCGTGTCCATGCCGATCCCAATCCCACGCGTGTCCATCCCGTGTCCATCCCAATCCCACCCGTGTCCATCCCGTGTCCATGCCGATCCCAATCCCACGCGTGTCCATCCCGTGTCCATCCCAATCCCACCCGTGTCCATCCCGTGTCCATGCCGATCCCAATCCCACGCGTGTCCATCCCGTGTCCATCCCAATCCCACCCGTGTCCATCCCGTGTCCATGCCGATCCCAATCCCACGCGTGTCCATCCCGTGTCCATCCCAATCCCACCCGTGTCCATCCCGTGTCCATGCCGATCTCAATCCCGCGAGTGTCCATCCCGTGTCCATCCCCATCCCAATCCCGTGTGGATGCCGATCCCAATCCCGATCCCAATCCCGTGGCCATCCCGATCCCAATCCCGTGTCCATCCCGATCCCAATCCCGATCCCAATCCCACGCGTGGCCGTGTCCGGTCTCCGGGCGCCCCCTGGCGGACACGGCGCGGCGCGGCTGCTGGGGAGAATCCCAAGGGATTGATCCCAAGGAATTGAACCCCACAGGACTGAACCCTGCAGAACTGAACCCCTCGGCCTTGACCCCACGGGACCGAACCCCACAGGGACTCTGGAGGGACAAGGTGACATTAAACCAGGAGCCGGGAGCCGAGCCCATCACCCACAGAGGTTAAGAAGGATGCTGGGTCATGGCACAGGGCAAGGATTGGGAGTTCATGCCTGAACGTGGGGAGTTCAGAGCTCCACGGGCAGGG